GTGAGTCTGTTGCTAATCTAATACAACTCTTGAAATTTACAGTGGCCAAGTTGAAATAGGTGTGTTAGATTTGGTGGGTTGATTCTTGTCTGTAAGTGAGTACTAATATTCTCTTTGAGTCTTTCCTTCAACTTATCTTTTTTTAATTCTTATCTTCTTTTATGTCTAAACTCGGGATTAAACTATATTAAATTAGGGTTAGAGCTCTTCTCTTTACATTTCAGTTACTAGATACGTAACTATGGCAAATGATTAATTATAGGTTTAGTTGTAGGTGGGTGAATGGGTAATGTTAGTAATGGGATTTAATAATATATAATAGTTTGTATAAGGCAACACTTTCACTTTTCTTATGGATCAGATAGCTAAGTTTAGTTTGGTAATTGTAGTCCCTTTCCTTTTTCCTGAATGAATTGCCCTTTATTTATAATAACCTTTCTTGTCTATTTACATTATGAACTTGTCTACTATATCAAACATATCTAATTTATTCTAAATATCGCATTTATTTCATATATTACATTTATGTGATATAGGCGATATATCATATATATCAGATATTTTGATATATCTTACTTGACATTTTTGACATGATATAGGTAACATTTTTCAGATCTCAAACTATTTAAATTTATTATATTTGCATATAAAATATTTAGTAATTATAAATTTAAAATAAGTTATCTGAGTTTATTTATTATTCATGTAATTTAGAGATAACAATTAATAAATGTTCAAGAAAAGATTGACATTTATATGATGATCTTAGTACTCATAATATGCTATGATCTAATTAATAAGATTGAATACTGTAGACCATTAAGACATTTCAGGAAATTGAAACAAGTGAATTTGTACAATAGGGAGTGCAACTGGCCCCTCTTTTAGCATGTAAAAAGACAAAAATTTTAAGTTAATAGTTGTCATATATAGTAATAACTTAGAATATATAAAAGGATAAAATGATTTAAGAAATCATTTGTTTAAAATGTACTATAAGCAATTTTTTATTTATTCCGGATTATAATTTTATATCGCAACTTAAGAATTAGCTAATAGGGTTAAATGTAGTTATTCTCATAAAGACTTAATAAATTGATTATTATAGAGACAGAATATTTATTTTATGATCAGTTATTAGTACATATATAAGAGTAAAACATAAAAATAAATATCTTAGAAGATGTATTATAAACACAATGAATAATATAATAAAAAAATAAATCAAATTAACCAAGCTATTATGATATTCCCATATATAATAACAATATTAATTCAGAAAATATATAAAGCATAACAAACAAATTACTGTATTAGATATCTACCATATCCATCTAAATGGTTATCACAAGCTTTATTTAATATTTTTTTCCTTTTCCTTTTGTTGCCTTTCTAGGAGAACTTTTTCTTTTTTTAGATGATAATTATTCTAGTTCTTTGATGTCTTGAAATTCATTATCACAAGCTAAATACGTAGCATTTTCATCATCACTCTCATTACTGTTTTTATGATCAACTTGCTTCTCATCACTCTAATAATCTTCAATAGTAGTATTATATTTTTTACTATTATAGGATGCACCAGTTTCAATGTTGGCATTAATAGTATGAAATTCTTTACTATTATAGGATGGGGCAAACTCAACGTCAGCATTAACAGGGTTTATGGATTTCTTAAATAAACTATACTGATCTTGAGGTGCCTTTGTTAGAGTAGTATTATCAATAATATCAATTATTGATGGTGCATCAGATATTGTTGAGTGAGAACTTTTACATCTACTAATATTAATAGACAAGGTTCTTAGATAATCGATATCAGTGGCCTCAATCATCATCTTGCCAGATTTTGAAAATTTAAAAAGACCCGATATGAAATAATTGAATCATAATTTAACATTAGAACCTAAATGGCCCAAATATTTAAACCTGGATGAATTAAGTAAGTAAATAATTGTCATGTCTATTTTAATATCAGAGTTACTAGTGATAGAATTATATTGAATTGTTTCAGCACCAAAATGAATAAAATCTCCAACATTCTATGGCTGATGGGTGACAGTTACAAAGTACATACTATAAAGAATAGTTATAGGAACATTACTCAAGTCAAATTCGTGATTAGGGTTTTTATTATCAACAATGCTTGAGTATGTGATAGTAAAACACAGTTTGGAATTCTCAACAATAAATTTACCTGAAATAAAAACTAGATCTCCATTTACAAATGTTTGCAACAGTTGATTAGTAGGAAAGAAGTATTTGAATTTGATTGTCTGGGTCAATTCCTTAGTAAGCTTGTATTTAGCAAGTCCGCTTGAGTATAATTGGCTGTTTTTTACAGAGATTATAACAACAAGAAGTGAAATATGAAAAACCATTTTGGGTTTTGAGTACAATTGTAATTTTATTATGATGAAGAAATCAAACTGCATTCTCAAAAAGTGGACATTCAAAAAGTGCATTTTTGTATAGAAAATCATACTCAAATTTTTTATATTATAGTCTTTTTTTTTTACAATATCTAATATAGTTTATTACTAAACAAAGATTCATAATGTTTGATTGTTCTCAAGAATTTGACAAGTAAATCATTATAAAAGATTTTTTTATGCAATAAGAACCACACATAATATAATAACTCTATTTAGTCTAAACAAAATACATCTAATCAAAAACATTATTTATGAACATGAATGCAATTAAAACAATTGTTTAATTATCGGCTCAGGAATAATTTTATACTATTCAATATTTATGTGAACTATTTTATATTAGTTTCATTTTATGCGATTAAAGCTGGTTAATTTTATGATAAGATCTGTAATATGAAAACAATTGATACTCTCTATTCATACAAGTTTTTGTACAATTTAAAAAATTATATGACATTACTAGCATATGCTTTCTTAGTTCTGATAACTAAATTTATAATTACACAGGCTATTTTAAATTACCATTTATGTTAATTTATTCAATTTTGTTTTACATATGATCTAATTATGAACAAACAATCTAAAGATTTATATATTTTTGCCAGATTGTAATCATCAAAGTTCACAATACATTTGATTTAATAATATTTATGCAGGCTGAGTTTTTTTGAATTACTCAAATTCGGCATAGTGCATGCTTATTTTAAAACTAGAAATTTGCCACGAGATATGCATACATATTCAGTTAAAACCAAATTATTAATATTAACAAATAATCAGCATACATTGATCAAAAATATGTATGATTAGTAAATAGTATTCCATATATAGTTTTTCTAACTTAATACAAAATGCGATGAATATCATAAGAGCACAACATCAACAAGTACCAGTCAGAATGCATTATAAAGCAGAAAACTGCAGCTGCATGAATCAACTATTTATGGTTAACATTTTTATTCTTCTAAACCTGATTTTGAATTTACGCTTATATATAAACAAACATCAAATCTTTGACGATCAGTGATTACATTTTATCAACCCAATCAAAAATCCTACTAAAAAAAATAGAAATTCCAAAAAATCCAACAAACATATCAAAAATTTACATCAGGCCAACAGTACTTATGCTAAAAAGCAATTCTTTTAATACCATTTATTATAACATTCGTAGTTTTGGGTTCTATTTTTATTAATTATAAGTACTGTTCACATTAAATATTATATGCTCATGTGTACAAGCATATGTGTAATAAACATGCCACCAGTAAGGTGCGAAATGACATGCGAAAAATAGGCACTGCATAACAATATATGACAAATAGAGTCACATAGTCCAATCAAGTGCTGAGAATCATACAAACACATTAACTTGCCTATAAACCATATACTACATTGTACATTGTACAAACTCTGTTCCTGGTAAACATGTTATATAACTAGCAAGTTACCTTATTTACTTATATTTGGACAAAATCTAGTTTAACATTTTTTAATACTTGAAGATCTATACTATAATAATAAAAATATTGTAAATGAAGAAGATTTGTCTGACAACTTTTTTGAAAATTCTAATATAGTAATTTAATTAATAATCAGTCTTCTGAGTTTTTAACTATATAATTTAAATATTTATTATTAAATTAATTTGAATTTATATTATTAGATCAATCTGAATCTTTGTTATTATATTAAGTCAAATCTTTATTATCAAATTAAGCTAAATTTTTATTGTTTAATCATGCTGAATCTCTATTGTTAAATTAAGTTAAATCTCTATTATCAAATCAAATTAAATTTTTATTATCAAATCAAACCAAATCTATATTACTGAATCAAATCGAATTTATATTTGAACATATTAAATCTTCAAGTTAACTTAAATTTTTATTATTGGCTAGTCTTAAAAACAATGTATGTACATTTCATATAATTTAGAAATACATATTTATTTTTTTATTTAATATATATAGTTCAATATATAAGAAGAACCATTACCAAAAATTTAATCACACTATCAGTTTTTTTGTAAATATGCAAATGAATCACTTGTAAACTATTGAGAACAAATGAAAATCAGATACTAAAAAAAAATAAGCATCAACTTGAATATGCTATTAATGAATATATTTGCATTACAATCCAAAAAAATAAACTGTAACAATATCAACTGACACATTTTATTCTGCAAAGTAATTGAAGAATTACCAAACAAGATGTACCACTTGCAATATAAAAATAGCATTCTTGATGTAATTTTTAATGCAAATAAACTTATATCATTAGGATCAACTAAGTATGAAGAGCTTGAAGTCTATAAAAATAATGCTATTAGTGTTTGTAAAGCTGCAAGAATGCAATCAATGTCAACTGTAATAGGTGTACATTGTGATTATATAAGTAAATGTAAAAATAATAATTGTAAATATAAACATTCTGATATATTATGTGAAAGTAATTGTCATCCACATAGTTTAAAATATAAAAATAAAGAATCATTCTTGAATTAAATAATGTAATATAAAATAATTAAAATAATATTTATGATTATAATTATGATTATTATTATGATTATTATTATTATTATTATTATTATTATTATTATTATAATTATTATTATTATTATTATTATTATTATTATTATTAT